CGATAACAGGCAGGGATGCAAACTTGTCATCAATAAAATATTATTGGGGTATGGACAGGGTTGCTAACTTTGGGTACCTGGCTGGAGTGAGATTTTGATATCATGGGTTTAATTACACACATGCGCACGAAGCGACTGCTATCGTGTCCGTAGTGGGACCTTAGCATATATTTAGGATATATATATATAATATATATATACAAATACACAATATTGGACACAGACTATAAAGGGCACACAGTTTCATTAAATAATGAAAGTCAAACACATGTTTGTTTCCACTGTTTTATTGTGTGCCTGTCGCGATAAGCAACTTATTGACTTATCGGCTCCCGAGTATTTGTGTTAGATAATCTATGGTAGGGCTAACCCATACAGTGGTGGGGCTCAAATCAGTATTTGAAATGTAATTACATACACGCTATATCGCCCCCTTGTCAGTGAAACGCCACGCGTGAGGTTTAGAATATTTCCCTGTCTCAATCCTAATTGAACTGTATGAAAACCCAACCCCCGCAGGGGGTCTGGGGGGATTCTCCCCCAGGAGATTTTTGAAATACTAACATAAAATACACATTCTCTCTTTTAGAGGAAAAAATAAATCCATCTATAACTACGCGACATATTTAAATGAAGCTGAAACTACTGCTCCTCCCATAGGGAAGAGGCTGTGTGAATTACTTCGAATTACTTTGAAATTACCCCATTGTTCTTTGTGTCAAAATGGAATGTTTCTGGCTAACGTTAGCTTAGGTACTCAGATCTTGTTCTTGAGTACAAGTAGAAGTACCAGAGTGTAGGAATACTAAGTTAGTGAAAGTACTGCATTCAAAATGTTACTCAAGTAAAAGTAGAAAAGTATTGTCATCAAAATATAGTGAAAATAGCGAGAGTAAAAGTAGTCGTTGTGCAGATTGGTTTATTCCAGAATACTATATATGATATGTTTTATAATGATTGATCATGAAAGTGTTCTCAAAGCTGGTAAAGGAGAAGCTAGTTTGAATGACTTTGTATACTGCATACGGTAGCTGGTGGATTTACTCCAGGTGGAACTAAAGTCTGATTAAACACTTGATTAGATTTCACATCATTCATCCACAGCTGAAAGTAACTAAAGGTATTAAATACATGTAGTGGAGTAAAAGTACACCATTTACCACTGAACTGTAGTGGAGTAGAAAAATAAAGCAGCAAAACATTTTAGATACTCAAATAAAGTACCAGTATCTCAAAATTGTGCCCAAGTATAGTACTTGTTAAGTTTATGAACTTAGTTACTTTACACCAGTGGCTATACTGATAGAAAGACTAAGCCTTGCACAGAGGCAAGAAAAGACATTTTAAAAAATGCTCAAAAGTTCTGCCAAAAAAAACTGACTGCTGAAATTAGATCTTCCTTTGTGCTGTGGTCATAAAACCCCCAATGGGTCGCGCCGTGGTCTGCTTCAGATTATCTTCTCCTTCCAGAGGTCACGCCTGTCTCTGATCCCGTGTCTTGCGTTTTATTTTATTTTCTTCTTCTGCAGCACCAAGCAGAGTATAGAAAAGGATGTTGAACTATATTTAAAACTGTAATTGAACTTCAACTCATATCCATTATCTGATTCCAGTGGCCAGTTGGAAACAGATAATGACAAAGTTTTCATTTTGCATCAATCGTGCAAAAAGGTTCAATCACCATTGTGTCTAAGTCTTGTCTTATCTGCTTTGTTTCGGAATGTGTTAAATACATTAGGTTATTTTATTTTCATTATTATCATACAATACATAGATTAAGAATAAATGAAACAAATAATACAACATTGACCTATTTGAGCAGACAGATGACCCGCAGTTATGCCTCTGAGGTTCCCGGGTGTAAAACAGAGGCTTTTTTGCTATTTATTTTCCTTTTGCGGAAATTTAGATTAATTTTACCTTGGCTGTGGACTGATTAATTTATTAGTTGTTACAAAAACATGCACAAGATGGCAGGTATACAAACAAACACGAAACAATTATACAAACAAACATGAACCCGCAACAAATATCAGGTGACAGCTAAACTCATCCAGTTTAATTTTAATCCGAATTAGGGAAACTTCAGCGGGGGTAGGGAAATATCAGTACTTATTTTTACTTATTGTTTTTTTATTTTTATTTTTATTTATTTATTTATTTTTAAACAAAATCCAATTCAATAATCCGTAAGTTTATTAAACACAGTGTGAATGTAATATTCTGCCACCACCCTTCCCATTTAATAGCTCAATTTAGTTCTTGAGCTTATGGTGTGATTAACAGAAAATACAAGTCTGTGTTGTTAAACATTAATTCAGTTGATGAGCAATAAACTACCTTATTCTCAATCAAAACCACTATGCAAATGTAGTGGTAAAACTGCTCAACCGACCGAGAGCAGAGATATTAATTAATTAAATTAATTCTAAGAACGGAATCTGCTGAAGAGTAATAACCACATTATTCTCAATCAGCAACTTTGACTTAACTGGAAGTTCTGAGTACTTCTTCCACCTCTGCTTGTTAGGAATCGGGATTAATGTTGGAAAAATCATTATAAATTGGCAATGAGGAACGCTTCACGAATTTGCGTGTCATCCTTGCGCCTAGGGGGCGAGGATAATCGGGCCTGCTCAGGCTCAAAAAGTCTCATTTAGAGTTCCGCCCCTCCCGTTCATTTCTATGGCATTATCGTTTACATCTTGTGTCCACCCATTGGTCGGCTCACTTAGTTCTAGTACTCTGATTGGATGACGTCTCATTGAGCGGGGAGCGTCTTGTCTTCACTGTAAATGAACAGCCATCATAACTGACAGGCTTTTGAAAAGGTAACATAAACTCCGCTATTACTCTTAACACGACAGTCCGTTATAATGTAATATAGATGAATGCCAATGTGTTGTCTTTTAACGTTCGCGCATATTAGCATTGGTAACAAGTTGCCGCTAAGCCAGAAACACACCGGAGCTTTCCGGCCGTTTAAATCCGTAAATACTTGTCATTTAATGTTTATTGCTATGTGCTAACGTTTATGAAGTTAACATCTGTATGCACAATTCGTGATTAAAAGTTGCCAATCCGCCATTTACAGTCTTAACAGTAGAACTACGGCAACAACATGCATTTCTCCTGCACTTTGCTAGGTGCAAAACACGTTATGCTTTTTTACTTTGCACTAACGTAACATTTAAATGTTCATGAAGTTAATGCTCATGGTAATTTGTATTTACTATGTGGTAGTGTACTAAAGTTAACATGTATATGAAGGCTACCATAGGGCGAATATTATTATTATAATGTAATAAGTATCATTCATTTAAAGTCAGACCTCTGAGGTTAATGTTGAGCTGATGGAAAAGTGTTATCTTTCAAATCAGAACCAGCTTTTACTCATGTTATTTTCCTTATTTCTATTCAGACTGTTACTACATGTTTTTTCTCATTTCATATTCTGTTATTAACTTGTTATTCTTATCATCCCTCTTTATTTCATCCTGTGTACTATCTGTGTTTCTCTCTCGTGCACCTGAATTCAAAGGCCTTCTTCTCCAAAGAGAGGCTTTGTGCTAACTAACTGCTGTACTTCACATGTACTTGTGAAGTACTTGACTGCTAGCTTCTAACAGAGCTGATGCCCCGGCCACACGAGGACGAAAACGGCCGTTTGCGTTACTGTTTAGTGTCATATAGACCATTCGGCCATACGAGGACGACCGAATACGGCACTAAACGACTGAGGAAACTAAAACGGGTCCCAAGGTGGATAGAACGGCATACGCAACGCTCTGGGGGGTCAAACGGCTCCGTGTGTGCGCGGAGCCGACATTTTCTGATAGTGATTGCGCAATAGCAATAGCCCCGCCTCTCCCCACCTCTTCTGCTCACCTCCGCTTACCCCGCGCCATTGCTGATGTGTTTCGCCACCAACAACAACAACAACAATGGCGGATCGCAGAGTTGCTATCGTGCTCCGGACGCTACTGACCATGCTACAGTTCTTTGTGCAACATCTACAGCAGACTTACACATCCAGGGGGGGTCTTACTCGCTGCTTTTGTGGATATGTACTGCAGCTTCAGCGATCATTTTCTGATAATGATTGCGCAATAGCCCCGCCTCTCCCCACCTCTGCAGCTCACCCCGCGTCAAAGTAAACTGCACACTGAATTCAGATTATTTATCTTTCTCTCGATATGGACATAAACGCGAGAGAAGTCTAATCTGACAGGACGGAGACACCTCTCAAACTACCTAAACTAGTTATAAATATGTTTATTTTTACTGTCGGCCGGGTCACTCATTACTGGATCAGCTGCTGCATGAGACAGACACTGACGCTGTCCGAAGAGAGGGAGGAAAAAGAGAGGCTCCGTGTATTTTTATTATTATATTATATAAAGTCGTTATTCATTTGTTTTAAAGCTCAATAAATAACAAAGAAGACCTTTGACCGGCACTTTTATAATTTTGTCGGAAGGTTTAAACTTTAATACACGTTGACTGGCGAAAAACTCTGCCCGGTTCCCTCGGCCCCCACCGCGGAGAATAAACAGAAGGGCAACCATGACAACCATGCTTCTTTCGCTGCTTTTGTGGAGGAAGTTACAGCGCCACGTACAGGCTCCTGCATATGTACTGCAGCTTCTCCAGCGGTTGGAGCTAAACGGAGCGGTCTCGTGTGGACAGACACTATCCGGATAACTATTGCGTGTGGACGGAAGCTTGTTTGCGATTGCGTTTGCGTTAATCCTATGCGTTCAGCCGTTTCGTCCTCGTGTGGCCGGGGTCTGACCCCGGCCACACGAGGACGAAAACGGCTGAGTGTGTGATTTTTATTTTTGCTGTTGTAAGTTATTGTCTTCTGTTTGCTATTGTAATAATGTGTTTTTATTGCATGTACAGCACTTTGGCTCGACCAAAAATCGTTTTAAAAATGTGCTATATAAATAAAACTTGATTTGATTTGATTTAACTGTTTTTGATGTGATTTCAGAAGAATGGATCACAAACCGTCCTTCACCTTCCAGGCTGGTACATCAGACCTGCAGCTGAAGGCCAGCAAAGAAGCTGTCAGAGTCTCCAAAGACAACCTGAAGAGGGCAGCCTCACCTCCAACACCAGGGAGCTGGCTGAGACATAAGCTGTGTCAAGGGTCTCACTGCTGGGGGGGAACCCGGCGGACCGCTGGCAGCTCCTCAGCCAGACAGAGCTCCAGTTCGGTCAGTACCGGGGTCAGACTTTCCAGTGGCTGCTGTCCAATGACGTGGGCTACACGGCAACAATTCTGGCAGGGCATCAGGGAGAGCGTGAGGGGGGGGGATGTCAGCTGCACCCCCCTCATGTGGAACAGGAAGTGGCTCAAGAAGCAGTCTGTCAGGAGGCCCGGGTCCCAACTGGCGCAGCTGAAGGAGTATATCGACAGAAGGGACAAGGAGAAGCAGCCTGTCGCCTCCTCAGCTGCATCAGCAGCCGCCACCTCCCCAGCTGTCTCCCCCTCCACTACATCTCCCCCCAAACAGCGGAGGAAGAGAAAGCCAGCGTTCCTGTGTATGTATCATGTCAGTGGAGTGTTACTGTGTCAGTCAGGGGTTGTGTGATGAGTGAACATTTTTTAAATTGTGTCTGCAGCTTCCTCAGAAGACGAGGACGACCATCTGATGGTGGAGGCAGCGGCTCAGGTGGAGGCTGATTTAGGTAAGTCTGTGCTTTGTGTCATTATTAAGCTTTGTATAATAACATCTATTTGGTATGTCAAGTGTGTTTTTCTGCTGTGCACAGCTCCTCCTCCTCCTCCTCCTCCTCCTCCTCCTCCTCCTCCTCCTCCTCCTCCTCCTCCTCCTGCCCAGCAGCAGAGAGCTCTGGTAACTCAGGCACCACCTCCTCTGCGACTAGTCACTCCTCCCCCTCAGGTCTGTAATAATGTTGTTGTAAACATCTAGTACCAGTGTGTAGTGTGAAGCTGCAGCTCAGTGACCTGTGTGTGTTGCAGCTGCTCCTGCCGGCAGCCTGGAGGAGCAGCCTCCCTGCAGAGCAGCACGAGTGGGTCAGCAGGGCTCTATTTGTGGCTGACAGGGCAGGGAGGCCCGTCCTGTCCCCGGAGCTCCAGCTGTGGCACCACCCCCCAGGCCCCTGGCCGAAGTACTCCCAGCGGCCCTACCCAGATGCTTTCTTCCAGCGGCCCTTCTTCCTCTGGGCTCCATACAAGAGGTGGAAGTACCACCTGAAGTGTCCAAACTGCGCACACAAGCTGACAGGTGGCGGTCTGTACAAGACCGTGCGCAGAGTTCTGGACATGGACGGGTGGTACTACATGGGGACGGAGTACCTGGAGTGCAGGTACTGATACATTTACAAGAACACTCTGTGTGTGCTTGATGCTTTGGTTACATAGACATTATTTATGATTATAACTATCAGTAGTAGCAGATACACCAATAAACCTTTCTGTCCCAGCTCCTGCACCAAGAAGTGTGCCAGCTGGTCTGCGAGCATCAGGAGCCAGCTGGACCTGGACCACCAGCTGCTCTTCCCTGCTGTGCTGACCTACAGGTAAACATCACGCTGCAGGACACAGTGGTGTTTGAAGGGCATTGAGATGGTTTGGTGTTCACCTCTGCGTCTGTGTTGGTGCTGCAGGCTCTCTTGTGACCGGAAGGCGCTGGCTCAGATGAAGGGGCGCACGCTCGGCAACAGCGCCAGCCGGCTGCACTCCTTCCTGGTGGAGCAGCACACGGCAGAGTGGATGAGGAGGAGCATCCACTACCTAAACACCTGCAGGAAGTTTGAGGTTGCAGGTGTGCAGATGCCTCCTCCTCAGCCTCCACCACAGATGGTGACTGTCCCCAGCAGCGGCTGGCTTCTGTCCACCTACGTCCTGGAGTCCTTCACGAAGATAGAGGAGCTTAAGGCGAAGGTGACTTCAATCTTTGGCTCCATCCTCAAAATGGACTCCACCAAGAAGGTGAGAAATGTAATGTAATGTAATCACCTTTACCCTCCTGAAATGTAAACCCTTAACATCTGTCTCTGTTAAACACATACAAGACTAACAATACAATGAAACAGTGTATAAGGCAATCAGAGTATAAGACTATATGTTTTTAAATGATTATATGATCATTTGACACAGGTGACCAAGAAGCTGGCGGGAGCCGACGCTGGTACCGCTCTGTGGATGAGCAGCGTGGGGAACGAGCTGGGGCAGGTCCGTGCTGACGGCCGCTGAGGGCTACGGCCTGAGAGACATGACAAGGGGCCTGCAGGAGCGGTACCAGCTGGCAGGGAAGGAGCCTCCACAGGTCCTGTATGTGGACAGGGACTGCTGCCGGAGGGACGGAGGCACCTGCGCTGCAGCTGCTCTCTTCCCCGCCTGGCCACACCTGGCTGTCAGGCTGGACATCTGGCATTTTATACGCCGACTGGCAGCAGGTGTGACCTCGGAGAGCCACCCCCTCTACCCCGAGTACATGCGGCGTCTCTCCAGCTGCATTTTTGAGTGGGACGCGGAGGACCTGTCCCTCTTGGAGACGGCCCTGCAGGCGGACGGGTCCAGAAGGACGCCGTCCAGCAAGGAGATGGGTCGGCACTGCCGCCGCCGAACGCGTGGGGTGCAGGAGACCGAGCGTCTCCTTGGAGAGGCGGTGGAGGCGTTCATGGGGGCCACTGATACCATGAACGTCCCCCTGCTGGAGCGGCACCGCATGGAGCAGATCCTGGAGACACAGAGGCAACACATCCCCTGCATTCAGGTACAGCTCTTACATGAAACCATTCAACATGTTTTATGTTAAGACAAAACACTGATTAATCAGAGCCTCTCCCCTTCAGGATCCTGCTGGTGTCCGCCTGTACACCAGGACGGGACAGCTGACCCGGGGGGGGGTGTCTCTGCCCGTCTACCGCTGTGCCCGTGGCTCCACGTCCCTGGAGTCCTTCCACCTGCACCTCAACAGGTTCATCCCGGGTGAGGCACCGTGCTCTAAGAGTTCTACACTTTCTCTCCCTGGGTGTAAAATCCTGACGTTTGTGTGTCATGTTGCAGGCTCCTCTGCGAGGGGGACCTTTTTCCAGATGTTCCTGTTGGAGGGGCTCACGAGGTGGAACGAGGACCGGGGAAAGGCGGCAGCGGGGGCCGAGGGGGCCGGCACCAGCTGCTACAGCGGCCAGGAGCAATACACTCTCCACCAGCTCATGCAGCAGTTCTTCCAGAGCACGCTGGTGGAGAGCTACGTGAAGCTGCTGCAGTACACAGGTGATGCTTCAGAGCCGATGCTTCTGGAAGGTTTCTGTGTGGGGCTCTGCAGAGAACACCACCAGGTGAAGAACAGCTGTGATATTAAGAATGTATTTACACTTTTCTTCCTCAGGTGAGCTCATCGGGATCAGCTATCTGTACAACCAAACGGGAAAGGTTCTGCAGCCCCTCCCTGAGGATCCCGATGAGCCCGATGACAGCGAGGAGGTGACTGTTGAGGAGGAGGAGGAGAAGGAGGAGAAGGAGGAGGAGGAGGAGGAGGAGGAGGAGGGAGAGAATTTCTTTGATCTTCCTGCTCCTCCTACTCCTCTTCCTCCTCCTTCTGCTCCACGGCATCCTGCTCCACGGCATCCTGCTTGGCGTCCTGCTCCACGGCATCCTGCTTGGCGTCCTGCTCCACGGCATCCTGCTTGGCGTCCTGCTCCACGGCATCCTGCTTGGCGTCCTGCTCCACGGCATCCTGCTCCACGGCATCCTGCTCCACGGCATCCTGCTCCACGGCATCCTGCTCCACGGCATCCTGCTCCACGGCATCCTGCTCGGCGTCCTGCTCCACGGTATCCTGCTCCTCCTCCACGGCGTCCTGCTCCACGGCGTCCTGCTCCACGGCGTCCTGCTCCACGGCGTCCTGCTCCACGGCGTCCTGCTCCACGGCGTCCTGCTCGGCGTCCTGCTCCACGGCGTCCTGCTCCACGGCGTCCTGCTCCACGGTATCCTGCTCCTCCTCCACGGCGTCCTGCTCCTCCTCCTGCTGCTCCTCCTCCTCCTGCTCCACGGTCTCCTCCTCAGCTGCTGCTGCAGCATCCTCCACCTCTTCCTGGGCCTTCGCATCAGGCCACTGCTGTCAATGTTGCAGCCCCCGGCTACCAGCAGGTGCGTCGGCTGGCCCACGGTCTGGTGGAGATTTGTGAGAAGGGAGACATCACCCAGGAGGAGGTGGAGGTGCTCGTGGGTCTTTGGCAGAACCTCCTGGATGTGGATAAGGGCCGTGTAGTGTATCCCTCACGCTACAGGGCCCAGCTGACACACGTGAGGTTCAAGAAGTCAAAGACCTCCACAGCCAACACAGAGGCCGTCCCCGGGCTGGAAAGCATGAAGCGGTAGGTGAAGCAGCCCACTGCTGTGTATGCTCTCTTACAGGTTTTCATATCCACTCACCTCTCTCCTCTGGTTCCAGCTGCATGGTGGGAACAGGCAGCGGCCCCGCCACGTGGCCCGACACCAGCCGGTTGGTGGAGGACATCTTCATCCTCCTCTGCCAGCTAATCCCCAGCAGCAGAACACAGTGGGGGTTCCTCCGGAGCCGCTGGACTCTGGTGATCACGGCATACGACCAGGTCAGAGCTACGGTTTATAGATGTCCAGCGCTCGTAGCCAGGACGACCCTCCAGCTGTTTACGGTCAACCAGCAGACCCTCTCTCAGTGGTGAGTCTGTTCATTCACACAGGACAATCTTCTGAGGCCCCGACAACATCTCTTATTAATCCTCTGTGTTCACTCTGCAGGCACAAGAGGTGGATAGCGGCCCAGGAGAAGATCATCCTCACCTCTGGGATCCAAGCGCTGCAGGCCCCCCGGACGGCAGAGGAGGCCCTTCTTTCTGAGACGTCAATTGAGGAGGAGGAGCCCCAAGGAGAGGAGCCGCGAGCAGAGGAGCCCCTGCCTGGCCCTGGCACCCTCTGCAAAGAGCTGCGGCCCCCGGAAGAAGAGGAGCCCTTTCCTGCCACCCCCTCTTCCTCTTCCTCTTCCTCCTCCGCCCCCTCCTCCTCCTCCTCCGCCTCATACACTCCCAAGTCCACAAATTACAACCGTCTCAGACTGCAGAAGCAGCAGGCGGAGGCAGCTCAGAGGGGGGAGAGTCGGAGACTCAGAGCCCCGTCTCAGAACAAGTGCTCCTCCTGTGGGCTGAGAAAGATAAAGGAGACGGGGCACAGACTCCTGGTGAAGGCCAGCGGGGAGAGAGTGAGCTACTGCCCTGTTTTGGCCAAAGAGAGGAGCCCTGAGGAGTGGTTGGAGTCCCTCCAATAAGAAACACTGGACACAATAACATGTATATAATGTAAATATATTTTTCAAATAAAGAGTTCAAACTTAAATATCTGTGTTGATTGACTTGCTGTGGTTTCCAACACTCGTCCTCTGCTGTTGTTGCGCTTCAATTGAAGTTCAGCAGGTTTCAAACAGGAACGTCCTTTTGCCTTTTTAGAAAACTCTATTTTAAATAGTTTGAACAATACAGATAAAAACACTACATTGAAAAGACACATAGTACATAAATGAGTGATTAGTAACATGAGTACAGAAGAACCCAGTATGTGAGAGTCCAGAGACTGAAGCTTTCCCACAGTGGGTGTGAAAGAGTCGTTCCTTAGGGCATCCTGGCAGGAGGAGATGTCCTGGAAACGTCCTCAAAGCAGGTGTCAGAGTCGTTCATTACAGCATCCTGTGGAGCCATGATTTCCTTTATAAACCTGATGGCTCATCTCGGGTCAGGAGGGCAGGGTGATCCACAGGTCTTTGATCTGATTGGATGAAAGCTTTTACACCTTTGAGCAAGAGGTACAGAAATGCAGGAACTCTCCTTTTTCTCGCAGTCTGGCTATAGCTATGGGTGAGTACATCTGTCCTCCTCTGATCCTCTGCTGTGAACCAAACGGACTTGGGGAGGGCAATCGCTAAATGGAAGGCCTCCCCTGCCTCCTACAGGATTCCCAAAAGGTTTCAATTCTGCAAACCGTTCTGGCCCCCAGTGCTTTCAAAAAGTAAACACGGTTATTACGTTTCTTTTATTTATTTGTTTACGATCTAAACAAAATGTCCCTAATTTCTCTGAGAAAAACATCTCACTTTCAGTGTATGAAGGTGGTGATAATGTACTGTTAACTTAAAACCATGTCTTCCTTTTTGCTCCTCATGCAGAACGGGCTGCTCAGAAAACTCTTCTACAGAAGAAGAACAAGAAGAAGAAGAAGAAGAAGAAGAAGAAGAAGAAGAAGAAGATCAAGAACAAGAAGAAGAGAGAAGGTTAGGAAATCACCAGAACACATGTAGACACACTCTGTTAACACAACTATCTCAAAATCAGAGCATGAAGGTGCTGATTACATTATTTTATATATTTTTATATTGTTTGATGTTGACTGCACTTTCATTAAACCTGTGTGTGTGTGTGTGTGTGTGTGTGTGTGTGTGTGTGTGTGTGTGTGTGTGTGTGTGTTGTAGATCCCCCACGCGTGTGTCCTGGCTGCTCAAAGGACATCTCAGTGGTTGAGCACCTCTCCCTCCAAGGCTTGACCTTCTGCCGTGCCACTTCAGGAATGACCCTGGATCAGTGGCTGAAGGTCAACGTCCCGAAGACCACAGGGTGGAGGTTGCAAATAAAGATGGCCTCTGCTGCAGCCGGTGTGTTCCCTACCAGGCGTGACCGCACCTGCACGCTATGCAGCCAGAGAACGACCCGGGCCACGGGGCATAGCATGCACCGCCCGACGAGGCAGAGTTTCTGCCAGGTTTCTGACCCCCAGAACCGCACAGTGGAGCAGTGGCTCACTGAGTTGAGGGGAGGGAAAACGGAGAAGGAAATGCTGAGGGACCGACAGAGGGTCAACAGGAAGAAGAAGAAGAAGGCCGCCATCCTGAACAAAAAGTCTTCCTAATTTTAATTTGTAAAACTTGTAAATAAATAAATATAAAGGTATTTTTAAACTTGAATATCTCTGACTGCTTATTCCTTGCTTTTGACAATGAAGGAGATGTCCTTTTGCCTTTTTAGAAAACTTTATTTTAAATAGTTTGAACAATACATATAAAAACACTGCATTGAAAATACACATAGTACATAAATGAATCAGAATACCTTTAGTCCCACAGAGGGGGAATTTGCAGCGTTACAGCAGGAAAGAACCACAGACAGCTTAGTGTTGCATATCTTACATGCGTTAAAAAAGTACTAAGTTATAATATAATAAACAAACAACACAACAATATGCTAAAAAAGTACTAAGTTATAATATAATAAACAATATGCTAAAAAAAGTTACATAATTTTCAAAAATACAGATCAAAAGCAAATGCTGCAGGAGTAATTAGTCCTAATTTCCTTGGAGGAGAGGTGCTCAATGACTGAGATGTCCTGCTTATTCTTTGCTTGTCACAAGTTCATAACATCTCTTTACCTGTCATATCAAGCATGCAGCCAGCAGGGGGAGTCACAGAGTATTTGTGGTGGGGGGATCTGGGTGGTTGGTTCACTGGCTTGAATTGATCTAAGGTGCTCTGATCTGATTGGATGACAGGCTCCAGTCCCCCAAATGAGGCTTTCTCAACCCAGAAGACCCGAAGGGGTCTTCGAGCTATTTCGGGATCTGTTTTTCTGGGGCTCCTCAGTCTCTCATTTACCCGGCTCCTGGGGCCTGTACTACGAAGCTGGTTCAACCTAACCTGGATATGTTTGAGTTAGCCGGTTGGCCTAATCTAAAACATACGCGCTCTCGCTAAACGGTACTACGACGCGGGTTATCAAGTGGATCGCTCAAGCCAGCCGTGTCCTATCTAGTTAAGTGCGCGTTCACATGAAAGGGGTGGTATTTGGAGCATTCGACCAATCACAAACATGGAGAAGCGTACTGACAGCGCAGCGTCATACTTCCTGAATGAAAAGTGAACTTTAATATTAGACATATGAAGAAGTTAAACTTTAAACATCCATGACTTAAACACTTTATCCAGGATCAAAGCCACATACCTCACACCTGCAAGGTGAATACAGCTGGTAAAAGAACAAGTGTTTGAATGCGTACATTAACAGGTTTATGATATCACTGCCCCGTCTAAGACACGATCTGACTTTAATTACATTTGTCTCGAGTGTTTCGTCAACTTAATGTGTTGCTTAAAATAATACTTCTGCATACAGTATGTGACACTGTGAGTGTTGCACGGCCAGATACGGCTCAGCTGACTCAGATAAGGAAATATATGATACATTATGAAGTGATATGCCGCGGACTGTACTTAATGTTACTCTGATCCGGTTACTTATGTTGTGGCAGATATTTAAGTAAGCTTTCTTAACGCTAATGTTATAATAGTCAGATTGCTCTGAAGATGGGAGGTGATATTCTATTAATGTTCACGTTCACACAGTCAGTGATTTTTGCCGGCCGTCTTTCCTGCAACGGCAGTTTTTCTGTATTTCCTTTCTCCTGTAATATGACTTGATCGCTTTAAACTCCGCACACTGAGCTCTGATTGGTCAGCAGGCAGTGCTTTCACTGAGTTGAGCTCTTAGCCTGCAACCTAACCTGGTCCCGACCAGGTTAGCCGCTAAGCATAAGTTACCATGGAGATCTAGCCTGCTAAAAAGAGAACCAGCTTCGTAGGACCGGAAAGCCGGAGTTTTCCCTGAATTTATTACGTAATTTTACGTAAATCCATGTTTATTTTTGAGAGATTCTGCTCTGACAACTAAGCTAAACTTTTACCTGTTAAGATTGTGCACGGCACAACAGAAAGTTACAGTAATTTTCAATGGACTTTTTTTCTGTGAAGAACCCAGAGAGGGTTATTTGGTTATTATTTATTTCATAAATAGTGTTATTTATTTCATTAATAGTGTTATTATTTATTTCCTGACTTTTTTTCTGTGAAGATCCCGGAAAGGGTTATTAATATTTGGTTATGTGTGGCTTTCTAGAAAACAATAAATGTTTATGTTTAGACACCCATGCGATCGTCACACTTTTTCTGTTACAAACTGACCCGGGCCCCATCAGAGAAGGGAAAAGTTATGTGGCCCTCACAGGAAAAAGTTTGGGGACCCCTGATCTACACCATCCCTGTGTATTTAATCAGTAGTTACCGGTTGTATCTTTACTCAAAGTATTTCACCATCTAGTAATGCTAACTGGCTAGCTAACTAGTTTAGCAGTATAGCATTAACCTCATGTGACTGGGGGAAGGGGAACAATGGGAACACTCAACATCTGCAGATAAAAAACCACACTGCTTGACAATACAAAACACAATCTTCATTTATCTTAGCTCTAAATTCTATAGATGCTGACCTTAAAAGCTGATCTCATACCAATCTTGTACACAATCGTTTCGGCTTAGAACATCACACAAAAATATACTTTTTGGCTTAAAAACTCCACACAATATACGTTATTAAACCAGACTACGCAGGTTTAACACATCAAACATATAAACTAACATGAATGGACCCAGTCCAGTGTAAAACAGATCAGGTCTGGTACCTACCCAGAGGTATTTAACACAATGTGGACCCAGTCCTATCCCAGATAAAATATAGTGCCTCCCCAGAAGGTCTTAATACCATGTAATATTCACATTAATCGGGCGGCGCCGAAGATACAACAGAGACGAATAGAAACACTATATACAATCTCCACACCACTCGCAATCACCACGGAATTAAACAGGTAACTGTCTCACCTTTCGTTTAGGCCCAGCCAAAAACTCATTTTCTGCAGCCTAGTGTGATGCTAGCTAGCTTGCAGCCTTCCCCTCTTTTCCAGCTCTATCCCGCTTCAGGGTCCACCCAGGAACGCCAAATGTTAGTGTATTCTAGAACCCTGAAGGCAGGAGAGACTGAAAAGAGTCAAGGGAAACTTATAAAAGTTAACAGCATTTAATTGCACAAAAGATGCGGTGGTGTACAAAATGAAATGTGCGATTGGAGGCGCTCTCCTCATCCGACCGGTCAGTCCAGGTCAGCAGGTAGAAGAGGTCAATTCTTGGCTTGCTCTTCCTGTTGTCATCTGAGGTCTTCTCCTATTGGCCGGCGTCGTCGGGGGCGGGTCCAATGCAATTCCTGCCTTTTTCTGTTGTTAAATTATATCATTCTGGTGTCTGTGGTTATTTAAACACTCCCTAATAAACGTTATTCAGCGGCAATAAATGAGTGCTAAACCCAGTGTGCTCAGTGTACAACATCACATGTCATTTCACCTTTGATTCACGGTTTGAAAATGCAGCATTTCGCCACATGCTAATGCTAACCGGAAGTGAATAATTTTCAGAATAAAAGTATTAAGTTCATAGTTAGTGAACTTCCGGTTTTTCAGAATTA